TGTGTTTGTAAGAAATTTTAAATCAATTTTTTCTAAATTCTTAAATATTTTTAAAAACTGTATTAAATAACTAGCAAATTTTAAGAGCAAAACGTGTAATACAAATGATTATTATTAGTATTCAAATTGAAATATTTATTGTTTCAAATAACTCAACTTACATTTTAGAATAATTCAAAATCTTTAAAATCAACTTATTAACTGTTTAACTAATTAACTAACTATTAATATTTTTTATTTCCAACACAATTTTAATATAAAAATTTCTCAATAGAAATGATTTAAACAAATTTTAATAAACTTCTTCTCAAGAATTCAATTATTTCACTAAATAAGAAAAATCTTTGCAAGAATTCAATTATTTTCAATACAATTTTAATAAAATTATTCTTGAGAAGATTCAACTATCTTTAAAAATTTTAATAAATTTTTTCGAAACAAATTATTTATAAAAAAATTTAAATAATACAATTAAATCAAAAATTAAAAAAAATTGATAAATAGAAGAAAGCTAAAATGTTTTAGATTAAAAAAAAATCTTCGCATGAATTCAATTATTTAAAAAAAGTAGTAAATAATAAGTACAATAAAATTTTAAATTTAAAAAAAAAAAATTATATTTTAAAAATTTTAATAAAATTCCTTGCAAGAATTCAATTACAAAAAATTTTGATAACATTCTTTGTAAGAATTCAATTATTTCCATTAATAAAAAAAATTTCTTTAAAAAATTCAATTCTTTTCATAAATAAGAAAATTCTTTGCAGGATAGTTAAGTTATTTTTAAAAATTGTAATTACTTGCAAAAAATTCAATTATTTAATTTTCTTCGCAGATATTCAATTATTTCGAAAAATTTTAATAAAATTTCTCAAAGAAATTAGTTTATTTTAAAAAACTTTAAACAAATTCACAAAATAATTCAATTATTTTTAAAAACTGGAATACAATTTTTCGCAATATTTCAATTATTTTCATAAATAATGAAATTTCTTCTCAGGAATTCTAATTTATTTCAATACAATTATAATTCATTTTTTCAAAAAATTTTAATTGCTTTAATAAAATATTTTTTATTAAAAAATTATTTAATTTTTCACTGGGATTTAATTATTTTTAAGGCAATTTAAATAAAATTTCTCGACTGAATTCAATTTTTTTTTAGATTCATGGCAGTAATTCAATTATTTCAAAAAAATGTAATAACATTTTTCTAATGAATTTAACTAATTTCAATACAAAATTAAAAATATTTCTGAAAAAATTTAATTATTTAAAAAAAAATATGTAATACAATTATTCGCAGAAATTCATTTCTTTTCAAAAAAATGTAATTAATTTTGACCTAATAATAATTCAATTATTTTCAAAACATTGTTAAAATAATTCTCGAATTCAATTATTTTTAATAAAATTTAACAAAATTATTCACAGAAATTTCATAATTTTCAAAAAAATTAAACAAATTTTTTCGAAAGAATTCAATTACTTTTAACAAAATTTAATATAAAATTATTCGCAGAAATAAGTTATTTATTTTCATAATATTTAATAAAATTCTTTGCAAGATTTAATTTTTTTTAATAAATAAATAAATTCTTCGTTGCAATTCAATTATAGTTTGTTATTGTAAAAATCATCTTTAAAGTTTCCAAATAGCGTCTAAAATAATTTAATTTCGAAATAATTACACAGTTAAAATTTCTGTTAATTAGTTAATTTTAAAATGGTAAAAATTTATCATTTTTTCAAAAATTCATAAAATATTATTAAAATTCTAATTTTTTGTTCTTTCAAATTATTTCAGTTTTGTTTTTTAAAGAATACTTAATTTTTACAAACAGGTAATTAAAATTTAGAAAATATAATTAAAATTTTCAAGAATTCGAAAAAAAATAATTGAATTCATTAATAATTTTACTTAAATTTTCCAAAGTATTGAATTTCACTACAAGTAATTTTATTTTTAAAATATAGAAAAAACACTCACAAAGTTTTAAATTAAATTCTTGTTTCTAAAAATTATCTTTTTTATTATATATAGTTGATTTATTATAAATCTCTTTTATTTTTTTTCGTAATTGAATTCCCCTTGAATTTTTGTTTGTAGAAATCAGAAAAAGTGTATTAAAAAAAAATAATAAAAACTCTTCAGTTGTTTGACATTTATAAAAGTTTATTAAACGTATCGCAGTTATAAAAATTATAATAATTTCTTTAATACATATTATTCTAATGTGCGTATGTGTACATATCATTGTCTAAATATTACATACATATGACAATTTTCACCACAAGTTCAAAGACAAACTTCCTTTCATTTTTTTAATACAAAGATTTTCTTTTTTATCAAAAATAATTCGACTTTAACCCCTTCAAGAATCCCCTCTTAAAGTTTTATCAAATATTGAAGAAAAAGAAAATCTTGTAAAAAAAACAAATTTTCAATACTTACTTAAAATCTATTTCGTTCAAATGAAGAAAAAAAAATCCCCAAATACTTACATTTTGGAAAAACTAAGATCTGTAGTTTTCCAAATGAATAGATTTTAAGAAATATTGAAAAATGTCTTTTGAACAATTTTCAATGGTAAATAAATTAAGTATAGTACCACAAAATTCTCGAGAAATTTCTATACAAACTTTTTATCAAACTATATATATATATATCGATTATAAAATTCGATCCTTAAAAATAGAAATCGCGACGGACTCGATACATCACTAAAAATTATTATGCTAGATGTGATTTCGTCATTTTATCAACTATGGACGGAGATTTATAATTAATTATTATTACACATATTTTACACACTCGCTAAGTAATTATATCACAACATTAAAAAAAAAATGATTCAACTAAAATTACCTATAAACGATTGGCAGTTTTTTTTTGTCTGCAATAATTACACGCGTCCAAGTTATTAATCTAAATTATAAATTATGAATTATGAATATTTTAAAATAGTAGACATTTTATAAAAATATATAAAAGAAAAAATGTACAAAATAGTTTTCCATATGCGCCAAATTTTTTTTTTTAAACTACACATAATTAATTAAAATTCGAACACATTTACAATATGAGAATGGGCAGCAGTAAATTTATCAAGTTAAATGAGAAAAAAAAACGTTAGAAATCAAGGCAAATGCCATTTTGTCAAGAAGACGTCAATTTTCGAAAAGACAAAAAAATCAATTTTATCCGATTGATGAATATGATTTTTGTCTTTTTTTTACCAAGAAAATTGATTTTTATTGCACATGCCTTTTTGGCCATAGGATTTGTAACGAATTTTAAAATTTATTTTCTGTTTTTTAACTCCGAAAAAGTTATTTTTAATTTTTAATATTTGAAAAGTGTTTTCTTAAAGTTTTTTTCTCAACTGTAAAACACTTTTTTGCAATTTTTTTTCAAAAACTTTTTCTAAATAAACAGTTGTGATATAAAATGAGATCATAGGGTATCTTAAACTATATGAATTACGCAGTTAATTTTTTTTTAGATCCTTGCGAGTAAATTTCGAGACAAATTTTTTTGAAACAATAATTATCTTTTTTATTTTCGCTTAATGGAACTGAATTTTCAAATTCTCTTGAGAATTAAGCAAAAAAACTCTCAATTTTCGTTTCAAATTTGTTTTTTTCTTTTTAAAAAATAATATTTTGAAATTTCTGCGAAAGAAAGAGTAGGAAAAAATGGAAAAGCGGAAGAAAATGAAAGTTCGAAGGAACTTTCATTCAGTTGAAGAGAAAAAATTATAATCTAATAATATAATGATTAATAAATGTTAAATTAAGTTACTGTCGATTTATTTATTTATTTAGAATTAATTTCAAATATTTAGAATAAATTTAGAATATTTAAAATAAATTTGGAATATTTAGAATGAATTTAGAATTTTTAAAATAAATTTAGAATATTTACAATAAATTTAAAATACTTACAATAATTTTGGAATATTTAGAATGAATTTAGAATTTACAATAAAAAAAAGAAACAAAATTAAATTGAAAAAATAAAAAAATACAAATGTCAATTGACAATATTTTGAAAATACTTTTGAATAGAATGAAAAAAATAGAAAAAGACTAAAAAATTGAAGAAAAAAACTAGAATTATTTCCCTTTAATTACAATATTTCTTGAAATTATTACTATTAAAAAAAATAAAAATCACATAAACTTTTTCTATCAAGAAAAACCTTTCCATCAATTTTTTTTAGCGTCTCATTAAAAATTGATTTGCTACGTAAAAAATGGATACGTAAAATTAACAAATTGCTCTTTTTTTCTACCTAAATGTTTATCGTTAATTATATAAATAAATGTTTGTTCCAAGTTTCTGTTGTTTCTCTAGTTCAGTGAAGACATTGTTCAATGTAAAAGAGTTTGTTGTGTGTTAAGTTTTTTGTTTCTCTTGTATTTCTTCTTATTTACGAATCTCGCGCTTTAATTGAGATATCGACGTTGCTTTGTGTTCGTTCGTTTTATAAATTTTTCAATAATTAATTTCATTTGCGTAAACTTTTTATACGCGAATTAAACAATTTGATTTTTTTTAAATATCCACAGTAGCATTCATTTCTCAGCTGTGTCCTTTCTTTTTTTCTTATTTATATTTTCTTCATTTTTTTTTTCTTTTTGTGGAGTGCTTTTCTTTTTATTTTTCAATATGAAAAATAAATATTTGTATTACTTTATTTCGAATTTTAATTTTCAATTATAAATTGAAATTTTTCAATCAAAATTTAAATACAAGACGCTAATCAATTAATTAAGAAAATCTCGATAGATAAGTTTAATGATTTTTGTTTCAATCTATTTTTTAAATTTTGAATTATTTTTTTACAATTTTTACTATTTTAATGAAACTTTAATCTTAATTAGGTTTTTAATTTTAATTTTCAAAGAATTGAAATGATTTTAAATCTAAAAATATAAAGTACTGACTTCTTAATGTTCATTTTTATTTTAATCAACTTTTTTAATTTTAATTAATTTTCCAAAACTTGTTTTTAAATTTAAAAATACAAAATACTAGTTTTTAATTTTAATAAACTTACGAAAATTTAAATTTGTTCTGTAATCTAAAAATAAAAAATACTGACACTATTTTATTTATCTTGCTTATTGACTATTTCCATTTTTTCATCTCTTTGAATTCTAATTTTTAAAAATAAATATTCCATTTATACAATTTTTTTGAAAAATTGTCTTTCTTTGACTCTGATTTGTTTTAAGATTTTCAAATCTTTCAAATCAAAAGCAAAGTCAAAAATAAATATTTAAATAGTAATAAATAATCAAATTTTTAAACATTAATAAACTTGGAGTTATATAAAATTTTGAATAAATATAAAATTTTTAATTAAATATCAATTTTGAAAAAATGAATTTTTTGAAAATTTTGAAAAATGTTTAAAGCTGTCTCTCTCGAGTTCTCAGTGAATTTTTCAACAAAAGAAGAAAAATTCCATCATCGAGTGCTAAGAAGAACTCGCAAGAATTGAATAAAATTTGTACAAAAAAAAGATGAAGAAGTAAATTATTTTTTCTACTACATCGCAGTTTCAAGTGGTTGACTTTTACTTCTTGCCTGCGAGGAAAGTTGTGTGAGCTCAGTGGGCTCGTTTGGTAAAAATGTATCGAAATTTGTCTCGAGTAAAACTTCACTCTTCGAGCGAAGTGGCTTCTCCTCGTTATTATCGAGATTCGTCTCGAGGAGAACTTCGCTCCTTGGACGATCCTCGTAATAATAGGGATGCGGAAGTGGCGGACTAAAATATTCCGGCACTGGTTCCGAACTTGGAGTTAATGGACTTCTATCGTATGCATTATAATCGACAGGAGTGAAGCTTTGTCCCGTCTCAATATCACGTTTAAGTTCTGTTATCGAATCAGTCATTGCGAGACTAGAATTTAATGGGAGTGTGGAAGCATTGTTTAAATAGGCCGAATCATTTATTATTGGATTCGGAACAACGTCGTCTGGCGCCACTACGCTATTTACCTCCGATGGCCAATTGCTGTTATTCCTCGATGTGAATGTCGAATGATTTCTGAAACCTTCGTTTCGATAGGCTAAATCGAAGACTGGATTGTCACCGGGTCCAGGATATTTTACTCCCTGTAAGAGAAAAATTTAATATTAATTACATTATTTTTTCTTTTATACAAAATTCATTAATACTATCAACTTATTTATTAAATATTATCAAATTAGTAAATTTTACGCGCGAAACGCGGTTTTCGATTTTTTATTATTCCTTTGCAATTTACAAAATTATTTATTTTCAAAGATCAACTTCAATCTTTCAATATTTTCAGATTCAAAATTTTAAAAAAATTCACTAATGCCTTAAAACTAATTAACTATTACTTATTATTTTCTAAAATTTAAATAAAATTCTTCGCAAGAATTCAATTATTTCCTTTTTAAATAATAATAAAATTCTTCAAATGAAATAAATTATTTTCAATACAATTTTTGTAAAATTTCTTGAAAAGATTCAATTATTTTTAAAAATTTTAATGAAATTCTTCGGAAAAATTCAATTTTTTTCAAAAGCTTTGATAAAATTGTTTATTCTAACAATTCAATTATTTTTAATATAATTATCGTAAAATTCCTCGAAGAAATTTAATTGATTTAAAAATAATTTCAATTATTTTCAACAAATTTTATAAAATTCTTCGAATGAAATAAATTATTTTCAATACAATTTTTGTAAAATTTCTTAAAAAGATTCAATTATTTTTAAAAATTTTAATGAAATTCTTCGAAAAAATTCAATTATTTTTAAACTTTTTGATAAAAATTATTTATAGAACTTGAATTATTTTCAAATTTTATTTTCGTAAAATTCTTCAAAGGAAATTATTTCCGAGATGTTTTAGAAAATTCTTCCAAATAATTCAATTTTCAAAAATGTTAGTAATATTGTTAAAAATTTAATTATTTAAATAAATAATAATGTTCTTCGTATGAATTCAATTAGTTTGAAAAAATTTTATAAAATTCTTTGAATGAAGTGAATTATTTTTAATGCAATATAAAATTTCTCGAAGACATTCATTTATTTTTAAAAGTTTTAATATCAGTTTTCGAAAAAATTTAATTATTGCTTCCTCATAGAGGAAGGATTGTATTAGCAAAATTTTCGATTGTGATTTTTTGACATATTTATAAATTTTTTTTTCATTATACCTCATCTTTTAGTACTTTATGTACGAATGAGCACGGATTTTAAAAATTTGTCCCGATGTGTGTGTGTGTGTGTGCATTTTTCATTTTGTAAAAAAACGTTTTTTGGCCATAACTTAAAAAAATGTTAGGGCACCTATAAATGTTTTTTTTTAGTTTTGTAGAGTTTTTTCAGACGCATCTTTTGAGCCTTCATTGAACATTTTTCGTCTATATTAGCCAAAGATATTAAAGTTTTAAAAATCTAAATTTTTCGAAAATAACACTTTTTTGAAAATTTTGTTGAAAAATATAAAAGAAACTTTAAAAGTTTCATTACCAATTTGTAAAGCATTAAAAAAGGCTTCGATTGACCTATTTTTGAACCTGATTCGGTAAAAAAATATCAAATTATTGGTATTTGAAAAATCAAAAATTGTGGAAAATATCATTTTTTCAACATTCTTGTTTATTAACTTATGTGTAATTATTAAACTATTATAACCATCTTATAGAATATATATAAAAACATATTTTTTGGACCAAGATTTAATGATTTTTAACTCTTTTATAAAAATTAATTCTTATATTTCAATTATTATTATATCTATGAGGAAGCAAAGTGTTCATGAAATGAACATTAAAATTATAAAAAAATAAAACTTGGCAGCGGTTTTTTCAATTGCTTTGATAAAATTATTTATAAAAATTCAATTATTTTCAATATAATTCGAGTAAAATTTTTTGGAGGAATTTAATTATTTCCAAAATTTTGTAGAATATTCTTCGAAATAATTTAATTTTCAAAATTCCCAAAAATATAATTACGTTCATAAATAATAAATTTCTTCATATAAATTAAATTATTTTTAAAAAATTTTATAAAATTCTTCGAAACAAGTCAATTATTTAAAAAAAATTTTATAAAATCTATAATAATAATCGTTGTATTTCGATAATCTCTTTTTGAAGCTAGCTTTTGTTTCCTAGATTTTTTAATAATTTTGCTTTTTAAATGTTTCAATTTTAAAATTAATGTATTAAGAATCATTGAATTTTATTATTTATGAAAATAAGTGAATTTTTTTAAAATTATAGTTTTTTAATAATTTTAATTAAAAATTTTCTAATTGTAGGTAATTGAATTTCATGAATAATTTCTTTCAAAAGTTTTAAAAATAATCGAGTTCGTTAATAATTATAATTAAAATTTTGATTTTATAAAACAATTTATCGAAACTTTGATAATAGTAATTGAATTCTTTAGAAAAATGTTATATCAATTTTTAAATATAAATGAATCCTTTCGAGAAATTTTATTAAAATTGTATTGAAAATAATTGAATTCCTGCGAAGAATTTTACTGTTTATAAAAATATATGAATTAATTGAATAATTTGCAAAAAATTCTCAGGCCTCTAATAATATGAGTTTTTAGGGTTTTTTCCAACTTTTCTCGATTTATTTTCAAAAAATGATTTTTTACAAGTGATTCACTAAGAGCTTTTAAAAAGCAACTTTCGGAAATTTAAAAATTAAATTAAAAATTCCTTTTTTAAAAAATATCACGAAAATTTATAGTTTTTAAATTTTTATAAAAAAAACATTGTGTATTTTTATATTCAGGAAATTGAATTCTAGAGAAAAATTTCGTAAAATTAATTAAAATAATTGATTTTGAACAACATTTTAATTAAAAATTCTAGAAAATAATTGAATTTTGGAAAAGTTACAGTTGTAATTTTTAGAGAGAATTAAGTTTTTAGAGGGTATTGAAAAGAAATTTTAGAGATTTTAATTCCTGTGAAGCAATATATAAGTATTTAAATATTTATTTTTTAAAGCTATTGAATTTTTGAATAATTGAATATTTTGAAAGCAGTGAAAAGTCCAGGTACCTACACAAATAAAAAATATAATTTTTGTGACGACACTTCCTTTTTTTGTATCTTTAATAAAATAAAGCAATTTTTCTCTGCCTTAAATTCGATCCGAGGCCTGAATTCTAGTTCTAAATTGAAATTCTCTTAATTAAATTTCGTCTTTTTATTTTAAAAACTTAATTTGAAGATAAATTTTACTTTTTTTCGAAAATAAAGTCACAATACCTTAAAGTCACTGGTACTTGGAGAATAACGCGGATTATGCGCCTCATAGACATCGTAACTGTGGTTGTCTTCCATGGAAGAATTAAGTTGCGTTTTGTCCATAGAATCTAAGCTTCCGCTGTTCATTTTCTTATAGTCGAGACTTCTCGAATTTAACGTATCATTTGACTGTTTCGTCTGAAAGAAAAACAAAAATATTAATAATTTCGAAAAAAGCATTTTAAAATCACAAAAAAAGCTTTATATTTAAAATACACAAAACCACAATAAAGAATTTTCATTTTTCACCATATAAAACGACATTTAATAAAATTTTAAATTCAATAAAAAAACAAAATTTATTAATTACATTTAGTTCTCGTTCATACGAATTATGTATAATAAATAAAGTTACATTTAGTTGTAAAGAAATTCCACAGGTTAACAAAACGAATAATAAAATAGTTAATACAAAACTGAAATGTTTATGACACAAAGCCAAAGCCGAGCAATAAAGACGTAAACATATTATTGTTACATTTCCTGACCTGAATCGGTGGTACCAGGACCACTCTTTTTTCTCGAATTGGCCGCTTGCGAAATATTCATAAATTCATTAGAATAAGAACCGAATAAAATTGTATTTCAATTAAATATTTCTTCATTTACTATTTTTACGAAAGCTCAATATTTTTTAATAATAATATGTCTATTATTCTCATTATTATTTTTATTATTGCTATTATTATTATTATTGAAAATTACAAGCATTATTCAAACTAAAAAAAAATTAAAAATTTTGAATAATTATTCCAAATTAATTAAAGCATTTAGTGAATTAAAAATTGCTGCGCTATTTCAAAAGCGTGAAATATATGAAGAAAAACTAGAATATAAAGTGCGAAAAAATTCAGTAAAAATAAAAAAGAATAAGCTTGCTTAAAAAAATTCAATTGTAAGTGAAGAAAAATTTAAAGATAAAATGTAAAAGATGTAAAAGATGTACAAAATGAACTAAAAAAATTGAATCGCTAAATAATGTTAAAATAAAATAAATAAATAATTACCGCTATTGGTTTGCGACGATAAGGAAGCTCAGAGAAACCTGAAGTTGAACCCACTGATCTTAACGAATGAAGAGACTGACGAATCGAATTTCTTCTCTCCAAACGTTCCAATTTTCGATTTTTCGACTTCGAAACCCAAAAGGCAATAACGGCTGCCAAAAGAGCGAGTGAAAAGCCCACAGCCCCCAAAACTCCAATTGCAACAATGTCCCTCCTCCAGGAAAGTGGATCAATTGAGACTCTTGGATCTAAAATAATTCAAAGGATAAATATACAGTAAAAACCGTAAGTATGAGAAAAATCTATTTTATAAAAACAATTTATGTAAGTCAAAATTTTCTTCCACGAGGCATCAAAATAAAACAAAAACAATTTTCTATTTCAAAGTACAAAGAATATGATGATAATTGTATTTTAATATTAAAAATACTTGGAGTAAATAATAAAATAAAATTAACTTCAATTATTAATTATTGTTACATTATTCTAAAATTATATTTAGAATTAGAATTTATTAGTCCTTGACAAAATTTTCAAACTAATTGAATTTTATTATTAAAATTTTCAGAAAATAATTAAATTCTTTTCAAAATTTTATTACAATTTTTTTAAATAATTAAATTCTTCTCAGAATTTTATTACAATTTTTTAAAATAATTAACTTCTTTCAAAAAATTTCTTTAATTTATTGAATAGACTCGATTTTGTTAATAATTGTAATTATAATAATTTTACTATTAAAATTTTATTTAAATTATTGATGGAAAATTAAACTCTTTTGAAGAATTTTATTTGAGTTTTTGTAAATAATTAAATTCTTTTGAAGAATTTCTTAAAGTCTTTTTTTTAAATAATGTAGTTTTTTGAATAATTTTAATTGATAATTTTGAAAATAATTGAATTAAACAAAGAATTTTTTCAACTTTTTAAAATAATCATTTCTGTTAATAATTATAATTAAATATTTGATTTTTCAAGTTTATTAAAATTCTACTGTAAAAAATTGAATTCCTGAGAAGAAATTTATTATTTATAAAACGTAATTTAATTTTTGCGATAAATTTTACTACTTATAAAAATAATTGAATTGTTCAGAAGGATTTATTAAAATTTTAGAAAATAATTGGATTCTTTCGAAAAATTTTATATAAAAATTTAAAAAAATTGAATTGTTCCGAAGGATCTATTACAATTTTAGAAAATAATTAAATTTTTTCGAAATATATTATGAAAAATTTTAAAAAAACGTAATTTTTCATGAAATTTTATTAAAATTCTATTAAAAATAATTGAACTTTTGCAAAGAATTTTACTATTTATAAAAATAATTAAATTATTTAGAAGGATTTATTAAACATTTTGAAAATAATTTAAGTTTTTCGTGAAATTTTATTGAAAATAATTGAATTTTTGCGAAGAATTATATTAAAATTTTTGGAAAATATAAACAATAATAATTAATAATGTACTTAATAATTGAATTTTTATTCACTTATTACATTTTTTATTTTAAAATATAAATTTTTAATAATTTCATAATCAAAAATTTATATTTAAAAATAAAAAATTTTGTAATATGCATAACAATAATAAACTAAATATCACGTTCCGCGCGCTAGCGCGTTAAACGCAAAATTAAATTAGCAAATTTAATAATAAAATAAAAATAAATAAATAATAAATTGAAAATAATTGAATAATGAAACGAAAATAAATAAATAGTAATCGGAAAATAAATAAATAATAAAATGATAACAAATAAGTTATAGAATGAAAATAAAAAATGAACCTTAAATAAATAAAAAATTAAAGAAAAATCAAATATAACAGAAATTAATTTTTGTTAATTTAAAATTTATAAAAATTGCTGTTTATTTTAATGACTAGATTTCTTCTTTAAAAACATAATCTTACCAATTTCACAAATAAAAGGATTCGGTTGAGCACAAATATCGACTTCAATTGTTTGATAAGTGAACATTGTGCATTGATCAACGCGTTCCAATTGTTGAACCCAAACTCGTTCTGAATAGTCAAAACGTTCTTGCTGCTTTCTCAAAAAGTTCCACAGTTCATGATAATTGCCCATAATAAAAGGCATTGATGCGTTTGCCGACTACAAGAACAAACAAAATATTAATAAATTTATCACAAATTTTATTTCCCTTTGTCTAATTTTAAAAACATTGCAAAATTCTGTAGTTAAAAAGACAAAAAACTCTTTAAAAAAAAATAAAAGAAATTTTTAATAAAAACTTAAACATTAGTGACAACAATAACTGAATTCGTAGTTTTAATTCACTTTATATTTCCGTGACGCGTCACGATAATAAATAATAAACAATAGAAAAAAAGAGAATAATAATTTTTACTGTGATTCTATTTTTTTTTCTTGATATACAAATAAATTTTCAAAATGAAGAAAACTTACTCGACAAAATTCACGAGCGCTGAAAAAGTCCATTGGTGCGCCAATATAAAAGTAACATGTGTCACCAACGATATCCCAGCCAGGTGGGCATTTTCCATTTAAGACAGTCTGATTGTTCATATGAAATGGTTGATAATCGACTTGCAATAATTCTGGAGAATCACCACGATCACGAATTCTTCCGGCGACAGCTACAGTTTCATTGTAACCCCACCAGTTGTGTCTCGCGTCCACGTGGGACCTCCACATTTCCAGTTGACTGAAAATTTTACAAATTCTTTTAATATTTTTTTTTCTTAATTATTAATATCTATCTATTTGTTAAAATAAATACAATGACAAGAAACGAAAAAATCAAAACAGACAAAACAGAGGAACATTTAAAAATTAAGCACATTTTCCTCAAGTGTATTCCACTAAATTCAAGTGTGTATGTTAATATTTTTTTTAAAACTGATTTAATTTACTTGTTTTTAAGTTTTTCAATTTAAAATTCAATTTTTAATTTGATAATAATTTTTATATTCTACTTTTCTTCGCGATATAATAAAAAATGAAAATAAAGAACTTACTCAACAAAATTGAAATAAATTATTTTCAAATCCAAATACAAAAAGCTAAAAATTGTTTGTGATTCTATTTTTTTGATGATAATAATAAATTTTTAAAGCGAAGAAAACTAACTCAACAAAATTGAAATAAAAATTATTTTCAAATTCGAATACAAAAAAACTGTTTTATTGTGACTCTATTTTTTCGATAATAATAAATTTTTAAAATGCAGAAAACTTACTCAACAAAACTGAAATAAATTATTTTCAAATTGGAATACAAAAAACTAAAAATTTTTTTGTGATTCTATTTTTTCATTAAAAATAAATTTTTAAAACGAAGAAAATAACTCAATAAAATAGAAATAAATTATTTTCAAATTCGAATATAAAAAACAAATTGTTTTAAAAATATTTTCATCTTTAGGTAGTTATAATCAAAATTAATTTTAATTCATAGTTAAAAATCTAGATTATTTTCTCTGATTCTTTAAAACAGAATGTAAATTTAATTACATAGAAGTAATTTTTCATCGTTTGGAAAAATTCAGTTTGTTTTATAATTGATTTGCGTGGTACGATTAAATATTTAATATATCACGATAGACATACAATATTATTTGTTTTGAATAAAAGCGAAAAGCAAAAATTATACATTTTTGATATACATGAATGCGTTTTGCACACGAATTAGTAGAGAAAATTCCCATACTCGTGTACTTACTTATTAACCCATTCCATGTCGACAACGCTGTTATTTTGTAAATAATGGTTCACATATGGAAATAAAATTCATTTATGTATAATTAAAAAAGTAAATTAAACAACTAGAATTTAAAAAAAAATTCCTAAGACATTGTAATTAAAAAATAGTTGAAAAAAAATTCTAAAATAGTATTTTTTCTAGAAAATTGAGTAGTAAAAGTATTGATACTCACAGCGATCGATTAATTGTCAACATTTCGTAGTCATTGTCAGGATTAAAGAAAACATTATCCACGTATTGCTGACCCGGAGTTCCCGCAACAATCGTACTCCGACCTTCTCTATCGACGGCATAATTCCTTAAAAAAAAATAAATCAATATTTTATTTTCGGTTATTAAATTCAAATTATAAAAAACTAAATTAGAAAAATTCCAAAATTCTTTGTTAAAGTTTATTTAAAATTAATTAAGTTGTTAATCAACTTAAATTAAATTAATTAACTTAAATTAATTTAATTTAAATTAATAATTAACAAATAAATAACTTAATTAAAAATTAATATTTTTTAGACACAGGCTTCGGACTCGTTAATTAATAATAAAAAGTTTTACTTTCTTTTTCCTGATTTCCAAAACGAATATTAACTACTTTCCTCATTCAGGTAATAACTTTAATTCTAAATTTTTGTTAAAATTCAATTATGTTCCAAAGTTTCAGTTAAAAAAATTTCAAATTGTAGTTATCAAATTTTTTAAAGTTATTTTCGAAAATTAAATTATCTTCAGAAAATTTTAATTATCTAAAACTTTTCAAAAACCTCATTTTTCCAGAATTTCTAATTTAAATTATTTAAAACTTCAATAATTTTGTTAAATAAATATTTAAATACCTATTGTTTAAAAATAATATAAAATGTAATCAAGACACTTTTAAAGAATCTCTTAAAAGATGTTTTCAATACAAATATAAAAATACATTATTTCTTTACAACATAGATAAAAAATAATAAATAAAATCCCAAAAAAGTAGATTTTTTTAAAAGTTTTAATTTCCTTTTTTTCTGTAAATTATTGAATTTTCAAAAATCAGGATAAAAAATTCTAAGAATTAGTTTTTCAAGAATATTTTCATGGAATTTCTCGAAAATAATTGAATTTCTTAAAAGATTTTTTAAACAATTTAAAAAAGTAATCAATTTTTCTTGAAGAATTTCAATGAAAAATATTAAAAATTATTGTTTTCTCAAAAATTTCAATAACAATTCTAAAAAATTAGATTTTAAAAACAGTTTAATGTTATTTTTTGAAAATATATCAATGGAAATATTGAAAATAATTGATTTTCAAAAAATTATAATAAAAAGAATTCATAAAGTTAGTTTTTCGAAAATAATAAAATAATTTTTGAAAAATAATTAGACTTCAAAATTATGAAAAAATTCCAAAAATAAAAATTGAAATTTATTAAAATTTTATGAATGGATTTTTTTAAAAAATATTTTTTCGAAAATTTTAAAAATTAATTAAGTTTTATTGAAGAGTTTTAATTAGAACTTTCAAAATACTTGATTTTTCTAAAATTTTAATGATAATAATTCAAAAGTAAATTTTCAAAAATCTTAATTTAATTTTCGTTGAAGAAAATTGAATTTTAATTAAAAAATTATAAACCTTTAAAATTAAATTATTTTTTACAATTTATAACTAAACTTCTTCTCTAAATCAATTATTTTTAATAACTTTCTGAAATTTCTTAAAGTATTCAATTATTTAAATACAAAATTTAATTTTTTTGTAATTTTAACTGATGATTTTTTTAAAGAAGTTATTGAAATTAGTTATTAAAAATAATTGATTTTTAAACAAATTTTCAAAAATTGATTGAAAAATTAAAAACAATTGATTATTAAAAAATTCTAATCAAAAATTCTTGAAAATAGATTTATAAAAATATTTTTAAACAATTTTGAAAGATAATAAATTGAAATATTAATAAAAAATAAAGAAAACTAAAGAAAAAATAATTAAAAAATTTTCAAATAGTTGAAATTTAGTAAAATTGTTTGAAAGTAATTCAATTTTTTTAATAAATAAAACTTTGAATAAATTGTAATTTGAAAAATCTAAAAAAGTAGATTTTAACTTATTTTTTTCAGATAATTAAATTTATAAAATTATAGATAAAATAAAGAAAATTCTAGAAATTTATTTTTAAAACTAATGTTTATGTAAATTTTCGAAAATAAGTGAATTTATGAAAAGAATTTTTCGACAATTTAAAAAAGTGAATAATTAATTCTTTTGAAGAATTTTAATTAAACATTTTCAAGAATCATATTTTTTGGAGTTTTTAAATAAAATTATTCAAAATTTCAATTATTTTACACAAATATTTAAATTCTTGTTATGTATTATTTATTTTTTCCACAAGAAATTAAAATTTTTAATAATTTAAATATTACATCTTTTGAAGCTTTAATTATTTCTGAAGATTACAACTGTAATTCTTCCAAGATTCAATTATTTTCTAGAATTTTTAAATAAAATTATTCAAAACTTTAATTTTTTAGAAAAATAATAAATTAAAATTTTTTGAAATATTTATTTCGACAAATTTTTAATTGTAAAAATTACATATTTTTCTTCATCTTTTGTGAATTTGCTCTACTTTTGCTCACATTGAAATTAGAACTTTAATAATACCTAATATTATTATCGTGAAGAAAATATTAAAATTCTAATTTCAATGTGAGTAAAACTAGAGAAAATTCTCAAAATAAGAAGAGAAAAAAGTATTTTTTAGTAGCTGAAAACTGAAGGGAAATTATTTGAATATTCAGTAAAAAATCAAATTGTAAACAATAGTAAATAGTCAGTTTTAGTTGACGAGTGCAAAGCTTGTTAAAATTAAAAATAAATTTTTTTTCAACTGAATACTCACTTATAGAATCCATTATGCGAAGTACTTTGATAGATCGGCAGTCGAACTCTCTCGAATCCGGAAATTTCCAGCAAATGCTTTCCGAGATTTCCGTGTAAATAATTTAAAGTCATATTGCTCACGACTTGTTTCAATACAACATTATTCTCAAAGGAAGCATTATTTTTCGTGAAATAATTTCTAAATATCGTCACCTCCTGATAGGGACTACTCTGTCGTCCCTCAATATAGAGCGCAGGTTTATTGTAATTTTCGGCAAATAAATTATTGTGAATCCAGCCTTTAAGTGATGTTGCCGATCCACGTGAATCGGCACGCACCAATAGGCCGCCTTGATTACGTCTCACTAAATTATTACGAAAATAGAGTGACTGCGTATTCTGTATATCGAGCCAAATTGATGCCTTGCATGTTGTAAAATTGCCGAAATGTTTTGCGCAATTATTCACAAATTGATTGCGTTCCACTGTTATTATTGCATTAACTTCACCTGCACTCGCGTATTTTAATGCGCCTTCGCGACAATTTGTCATTGACGAATAGGAAACATTGTGTTGTACGTCGCGATTAAAGCCAATCGCCGATATTGGTAGTGTGACAATTTCTGCGATGAAACCATGAACATTACTGGCACCGTTTGCAAATAGTTTTACACTTAAACTAGGACCACGTGTTCTGAATAGTGATTTCTCATGACGACCATTCACTTCCAATTCGGCGATTTTCTCCGTTGTTATATTGTAAATGTCACCGTCGTACAAGGAAATGCTGTCCGGTCGTCCCGGTTTTCCCGTCGAATTAAACAAATTAAACTGCAACAGTCTGGAGACAAAAAAATAGGAATTACTTTTCACTTTACCACAAAATTTTTTTATTCTTTTGTCTTTAATTTTGTAACAACTTTCGAAATGTAATTCTTCAAAAATACGATTAAATTTCAAAACAATTTTCAAAAGTAATAAAATTTAAATCTTACAAATACAAAACTTATTTCAATGAAAAAGACAAAACCTTTGTTTCAATTTTTTAAATTATTTTCCAGTATTCAATGCAGTATCTCAAAAAAAAACTTTGAATTACAATTTTTCAAAAGACTAATTTATTTTTTAATCACTAAATTAAATTATTCAAAACCTCAATAATAATTTTTGTTAAATAAATATTTAAAAACTTATTGTTATTTATTTTCATTGAATAAATTTATTATTTTATTATTTCTAAAAATTACAACTGCAATTTTTCAAAAGTCAATTATTTTTTAGAATTTATGAATAAAATTTTTATTTATTAATTTTTAAAGGAAAATAATAGGATTATTAAAAATTTTTTAATTAATTAATATATTTAAAGTGAGAAAATAAAATTCTGTGAAATATAAAATTTATTTTAGAAAGATTTAAGAAAATTTCCTATTTTTTCAATTTTTAAAAATTATTTTCGAGAATTACATTATTTTCAAAAAATTTTAAATAGGTACGATTTTTTAAAAACCTCATTTTTTCAGAATTTTTAAATAAAATTTTTCAAATTTCGTTAATTTTTCTATTGTTATTTATTTGTCCATCAGAATCAAAATTTAAAAAATGTTAAAAAGATTTTAATTTAAAAACCTTGTTAAATTTAATTATTTCTTACAATTTTTCTTATAACGCTTCTAATATTCAATTATTATCAAAAATATTTTTCAATATTTTAATTGAAATTCTTTTTTAACTCAATTCTTATTAGAATTCTACTACGATAATTGAATTATTAAAATACAAAACTTTTTATAAAACTTAATTATGTTCCAAATATCAAGAATTCAATTATCTTCATAAATAATAAAGTGCTTCGCAAAAAATCAATTATTTTCAATAAATTTTAGTATTTGGAAGGAATTAAATTATTTTCAATAAATTTTAATATTTGGAAAGAATTCAATTATTTTCATCACTAAAAAAAAATTTCGCAGAAATTCAATTATTTTCATCACTAAAAAAAAATTTCGAAGAAATTCAATTATTTTCAACAAAATTTTAATAAAATTCTCGACGAAATTCAATAAATTAAAAAAATTTTAATGAAATTGCATTAAAGAATTCAATTATTTTGAAGGCAATTTTAATTAAATTCCTCAAAAAGAAATAAATATTATTATAAAAAATTTTCATTAAATTCTAAGCACTTATTAAATTTTTTTATATGAAATTATAATATTTTTTAAATAAAACGTTAAAATAAAAAATCCAGTTTGTAAAAATAATTGAATTTCTCTGAACTATAAAATTTTGTCAAAAAAAATTCAATTATTTCTAGATGTTCTATTCAAATTGCATTAAAAATAATTGAATTTCGGTGAAAGTTTTATAAATTTTGTCGAGAAAATAAATTTCTTATTGAAAAGAAAAATTTTATTTTAATGAAATTTGAAGAAATATTCCTATTTTTCAATTTTTTAAAAATTATTTTCAGGGAATTCAACTATTTTCAAAAAATTTTAAATTACTATTTTTGAAAAAACTCATTTTTTCAGAATTGCTAAATAAAATTTGTCAAAGTTAATTAAATTCTTTGAAAATGATGTGTTGTAAAAATTCTATAGGAATTACATAATTTTACTAATACACTAATCACTCTATTTAGAAATTAATTGTCAAACTTTTGAGCTGTAAAACAATTTGGAATCAAAAAGCTATATAATTTTGAATTATTTTTTCTAATTTTTATTTTAATTCTAACTTTCATTTTAATTTTAAATCGAGCTTTAATATCTAATTTTAATTTTAAATTACTTGTTGAGAACATATTGTAAGATTTATATTTAAGAAAAAATAATTACATACCTAAAACCAAATGGTTTTGCTCTGTAGGCACTGCGGAAAATTTTCACACAATTCACAGGATAATTATCATACTTGTGATAAACTAAAATTCTCTCTTCAATTGTAATTTCCTTTGTTGTATCGCAAATATCCACCATGCTAAATAAATGATATGGAATATTTAGATCCTTGATTGGAGTGAACGAACTTTCTTCAGCTTCTCGTCCTTCTCCGGTTATGGACAAAATATTAATTCCATTTCCCAATACGTTATCGATCTGATTAAATAACAATTGAACCTGAAAATTTCAAACGAAGGAACATTAATAAATTTCGTTTAGGTTATAAATTTAAGTAGTTTAATTAATTATTTATTAAATTAATTAATACGAACAGTTATTATTAATAACAAATGTTACAGATCAGGAAATCAAAGAATTCAAATAAATAATTAAATTTCAAAAGGTTTTACATTAAAATTTTAAATAATTAAAATGAATTGAAAAAATTAAAAGGAATAAGAATAAGCTTTTCAATGTTTGTTTAACAAAAATTATTATTGAGGTTTTGAATAATTTACTTTAGAGATTAAAAAAAATTAGTCTTTTGAAAAATTGTAATTACAAATTTTTTCGAAGATAATTGAATTCCCGAAAATAATTTTAAAACTCGAAACAGTTCAAAGTTTTGTCAAAATTTAGTTAAAATAAGTTTTGTATTTCAAAGAATTTAATTTTACTTGTTTTCAAAGATAATTGTATTTTTGAAGAATTATATTTCGAAAAATTATATTTTTTAAAAAGTAATAAAATGTCAAAAAGAAAAGTTTTTGTAACTAACAATGGTTAGTGCGCAGCGAGTAGTTTAAAATAATAATTTATTCAAATATTTACTTATTTCTAAATAAATAGAAAACTAAAACTCACCGTATGAGTTGGAGAGATCATGTTGATACCATGATAAGCGCATTTTGTAATGCTGACATGTGTGACAACTGGCGATTTCATAATCGATTGAATGGCCGCTGATTTTTCATTGTGTAAAATTCCAGCTCCTGTTATATTGACATATTTAAGGATCGATTCAACTCTTGGCACTGTCTCGTGTGTAAGGACATCATGAATTCGATGCTCATAAAGATGATGTTCAAATTCACTATTGGCAATTCTAATACCGCCCCAATAATTTTCGGACGATTCCAAATTTCTTTTTCCACAATGAATAAAAACAAATTCACCATCCCAGGGACATTCGTACTTTTGGCCAAATAATTGTCCATTCAGTCTTATTTCACAGTCTTCCAATCTCTCCTCACTTCCTGTACACTGTAAAACAAAAATTTAATTAAAACAAATTTCCAAAAATTATGCAACAATTTATGTAAAATATACAATTACTTTTCATTTCCAATTTACTTTTAATATTTCTATTTCTTTCTACAGTTTTAATATTTGGATTTTAATTTTTTTTACTTTTCTGCAATTTTATAAGTTTGCAAAATCAACAAAAGGTGAAAAAAAAATTAATGTAAAGGGAAAATTTTATAACAGGGATCACAGTATCTTTTTTCTCTTAAAAAGAAAATAAATTATTATCGAATACTTTAATTAAATTCTATGCAATTATTAAATTTTTCCACATTCAAAATTGTGGAAGTTATAAAAATTATAAAATTCTTTTAATAGATAGTAATAAAATAAAAAAAATCCAGTTATCAAAAATTATTTTTACTTAATATGATTTTTATAAATAAAAGATTCAAATTTTCACAAAATTCCGCTATTCACAAAAGTGTTCTTTTCAGAATATGTTTCAAAAAAATTATTAAATTTTGAGAAGTTGTACCTAAAATATAAATAAATAAAAAAATGTCCCAATTGAAGAAAATAATTGAATTTCTTTGAATACTTTATAAAATTTTATCAAAAGTAATTAAATTATTTCTAGAAATTCTATTGAAAATGCATTTTAAAAATAATTAAATTATTTTGCAAAATCATATTTAATTTCTTTAAAATAATTTAATTACTGTGAATGTTTTATAAAATTTTGTTTTAAAAAAATTGAATTTTGTCGAGAAATGTTATTAAAATTATATAGAAAATAATTGAATTCTAACCAAAAATTTTATTTAACTTTTTAAAAATAATTGAATTTGAATATTTTATTAATTTTTTTTTTTATAAATAATTGAATTCTGTCAGGAAATTTTATTAGAATTTTTTTGAAAATAATAGAAATCTTAGGTGAAAGTTTATAGAAGTTTTTTATAATAGTTTTGATTTTTATTTCTTTTTAAAACAGCTTTAAGTTATTTTGTGAATAATTTTATAAAATGATTTCAGAATAATTGAATTCTATAGAAAAATTAACAAAATTTTTTTGAAATAAGGTAATTAAATTTCTGTGAATATTTATTTTATTAAATTTTGTAAAAAATAATTGAATTATTTCTACATAGAAATTCTATTGAAAATGCATTAAAAATAATTAAATTATTTAGAAAAATTCAATTCAATTTCTTTAAAATAATTGGATTTATATGAATGTTTTATAAAATTTTGTTAAAAAAATTTAATTTTGTCGAGAAATGCTTTGAAAAATCTAATCTAATTTCTTTAAAATAATTGAATTTCTGTGAATGTTTCATAAAATTTTGTTTAAAAAATTTAATTTTGTCGAGAAATGTTATTGAAAAATTGAAAATAATTATTGACTTCTAACCACAAATTTTATTAAACTTTTTGAAAATAATTGAATTTAAATATTTTTAAATTTTTGTTATAAATAATTGAAACTAATTGAATTTCTGTCAGTATTTTATTAATTTTTTTATGAATAATTGAATTCTGTCTGGAAATTTTATAAAAAATTTTTTTAAAATAAGTGAAATCCTAGGTGAAATTTCATAAAACTTTTTAAAAACAGTTTTGATTAATATTATTTTTTAAAATAGATTTCATCTTTTGCAAATAATTTTATAAAATTATTTGAGAATAATTGAATTCTTTTAGAAATTTTATTGAAATTGTATTGAAAATAATTTAATTCTACATAGACAAATTAAAAAAAAATTTTTTTGAAAATATTTGAATTTCTGTGAATATTTTATTAAATTTTGTCAAAAATAATTGAATTATTTCCAGAATTGTATTGAAGAAAACTGAATTCTTTGGAGAAATTTTATTAAATTTTTTCAAAATAATGGATTTTTTGCTAATAAATTTAATAAATTATTTGAGAATAATTGAATTCTTTCTTAAATTCACAATTCACAAATTTTAGAATTAGTTTTAGAATATTTAATCAATTTGTTAAATTGATCCTAAAATATAAATAAATAAAAAAATACACAAATAATTGATTTTTTAAACGATTGAGTTGAAAATTGACAAAAATTAAAAATTTATATTGTTTAAAGTTTGGAAAAATTGAAAGTCAGATCAACTACATTTGAGATTAATCAAAAATAAGATGAATTACAGAATTCGAAAGTTTTAAAATTTTGTTGACTTAAATTCAGAGCCAATTAAGATTTTAATCGATAAAAGACTTAACAATTTAGAATTGAAATTTATTAAAATATAAATTAATTAAAAACTTTTAAAAATTTGTTTCACTATAAAAAGTTTACAAAATAGGTAAAAATAGGTGAAAATTAACGGAATAGATCTTTGATCGCTGTTATAAGTTGAAAAAATCAGCAAAAGATGGAAAAAAATAAAAATAAAGGGAAAATTTGATAAGTTTAGAAAATGAATTAAAGTTGGAAAAATAGAAATGAAGAGAAAACTTTCTCTCTCACCTGTAAAGGTTCTGGCCAAGACCAAATGCGAGTCAAAGATCCAGGATGAAGTTCATAACGTCGATCCCTTGAGACAAATACATTCATCGGATCGTGACCAAGTTGTTGACACGCGACTTGAGCATTTCTCTCGGTGAATTTATAATCGCAGAGAGGAATCCATTGAAGCGTTGTGCGATTGAAGAATTCGAGAAAGCCTTCATTAGTCTGCGAAGTGCAATTCCCTTCCTTGCAAAGTCGAATCGTTTCCAAAGGCACATTAGAAATACTGCGTTTGAAATACGATTTAGCGATTTGCGAGTTATCCTCAATCCATGGTCTCATTACAATTTCATTTCCAGCCGTTCCCAATGCTTGAATCGTGCCCAGTACTAAAATTCCAACATTTGGAGCAAACTCCATTACAACGCCTGGATAAATGAACAGAGTCGCACCAGGCATTACTGTTATGTCAGTTTTAATTACATAGGGCGTTGATTTTGCGTGAATTGAAATTGTCTCTCTGATTTGGCCACCGAGATTTTCCAAGTCAATTTTCGTCGCTTGATCCCAGGACGCCGATATTGCAGAGTCCAACGAATTGCCCGTTAAATACGGTCGAAAATCAGCAATTGCGTGATCATTCCAATCGTTGAAGTCAAATATTTTTTGTCTGAAATTGGAAAAAGAAAGATGAGAAATAATAATCGATATTAATAACTAGCAATTTTTATTATTATTATTATTATTATTATTATGCAAATTTCAAAACTTTTTATTCTCAAATATCAATTTTAATTTTTAAATAATTTCAGATTCAAACTTTAAAAAATTCACTTATTGAATTCAATCGTTTTCAATACAATTTTAATAAAATTCTACGAAACGATGCAATTAGTTTTTAAAAATTTGATTAAAACTTTTTCAACAGAATTCAATTATTTTCTAAAATGGTAATAAAATTCTATGCGACAATTAAATTATTTTCATAAAAAATAAAATTATTCTTCGCAAGAATTTAAATTTTTTTCAATACAATTTTAATAAAATTTCTGGAAAGGATTCAATTATTTTTAAAATTTGTAATACAATTTTTCTAAAGAATTCAATTATTCTTAAAAGTTTTGATAACATTTTTTATAAGAATTCAAAAAATTACTTTCATAAATAATACATTTTTTTCGTTTGAATTCAATTATTTTCAAAAATTGTATTAAAATTCTGAAAAAAATTCAATTATTTATAAAAAAATTTCATAAAATGCAATGAAAAGATTATTGAAAAAACTATTATTTTTAAAAAAGTTAAAGAAATTTATCAAAAGAATTTAATTATATTGACGAAAAAACAATTTAATTATATTGTATTCAAAATAAAATAAATAACTTGAATACGTATAATGACTTTTATCAAAATTATTCAAAATAATTAAAATCTTGAGAAGTATTTTATTAAAATTTTCAAAAATAATTGAATTTCTACAATGAATTTAATTACAATCTTTTAAAATAATTAAATACTTTTGAGATATTTTATTAAAATAATTAATTTCTTTCAAGAAACTTAATTAAAATTCAATTGAAAATAATTACGTTATTTATTTATAACATTTTTTTGAATTTCTGTAAATATTTTATTAATTTTTTTTTAATATATAATTAAATTCCGTCGAGAAATGTTTTTGAAATTGTTTTGAAAATAATTGAAATCATTGGTGAAATTTTATTAAATGTTTAAAATAGCTTTAAATTTCTGCGAATAATTTTTAAATTAAAATTAAATAATAAATGAATTCCTCAAAGAAATTTTATTGAAATTTATTGTATTGAAAATAATTGAATTCTATGGAGAATTTTTAACAAATGTTTTAAAAATAATTGAATTTTTGTTAATAATTTGAATAAATTTCTTTAAAAATAATTGAATTCATTGGAAATTTTTTTTTAAATTTCTGAAAAAAATAGAATTTTTGTAAATATTTTACTAAATTTTGTTATGAAAAATTGAATTATTTCCAGCAATTTTATTGACATTATATTGAATTCTTTAGAGAAATTTTATTCAATTTTTTAATATAATTCAATATTTGTCGAATAATTTAATTAAATTATTAGAGAATAATTTAATTCTCTCTAGAAAATTTATTGTAATTGTATTGAAAATAATTCAAATCTTGCCAAGTATATTATTTTAACTTTGGAAAATAATTGTATGTTTGTGAATACTTTATATAATTTTGTTAAATATAATTTAATTCTTTTGTGAAATTTTATTGCAATTTTTGAAAATAATTGAATTCTTTTGAAAAATGTTATTGAATTTGTTTGGAAAATAATTGAATTCCTTAGAAAAATGTTATTAAATTTTGTTAAAAATATTTGAATTCTTTCGTGAAATTTCATTAAACTTTTTAAAAATAGCTTTAAATTTTTGCGAATAATTTAATTCCTTTTAGAAATTTTATTGAAAATAGTTGAATTCTTTGGAAAAGTTTAATAAAATTTCTTGAAAACAATTGAATTTCTGTGAATATTTTATTAAATTTTGTTAAAAATAATTGAATTATTTTCAGAATATTAAAATTTTATTGCAAATAATTGAATTTGGAAATTTTTTTTGAAAATAATTGAATTTCTGTGAATAATTTGATTAATTAAATTATATTCAAAATAATTGAATTAATTTGAGAAATTGTACTGAAAATAATTGAATTCTTTGGAAAAGTTTTTTTTTAATTTTTTGAAAATTATTAAAATTATTGAAAATAATTGAATTTTTTAAATGAATTTTATTAAATTTTCTTAAAAATAATTGAATTCTTCTGAAGAATGTTATTATTTATGAAAATCATTGAATTTACTAGTAAATAATGAATAATATTAGAAAAAAGAAAGTTGTACATATAAAAATTTCAAAAAAAGAAATTACCTGATCTGAACGTCATTGTAAGTTCCCCACCAATTTTCAGTTACATCAACGACATTATCAATTTTCGCCGTCTTAACACCGGCCAAAAGTTCATAATCAAGTTGATTATCGCCAAAGAGATTGCGATTAATTTGCACCTTTTGTATTCCATGAAAGCCAATAACGTAACTTGGATCATTGAACATTTGATGATTACTTCTATTAATCAATTGATAATTATTAAATTTCACATCGTTGAGTAGAAATTTGGCATAAACTTCACCCATTATTTCCGATTGACTGTCCGCCTTAAATTCAACCATGAAACGTCCATGATTTCTATTAATACGATTGCGTTCAATTTGCATTTTCTTCTCCATACCGCGAATCGATATTAAACCCGTTTTACAATTATTATTTTCAAATTGATTATTTGTCATGTTTAAATTAGCAAAATGCCCATCGACAACAAAGGCAAATTGTTCATTATTCTGCCAAGTATTATTATCAAAATACAACGAATGTGTAAAATTTTCGTTATACTGCCAAACGTAGGGAAGTGCAACTTGAAAACCACCACCGTGATTTCTCTCAATTGTACTGTCTTGTAAAATCCAATGGAATAGATTATTCGAATGTCGCATATCGCGACTGTACTGCAAAATTCCCCTTCCATTATCGGTAATTAATGAATTATTAACGTGTATCGAAATTTCTGATAAATTTGACTGGAAAACGTTCCAATGGGGTGAGTGGACAAAAATCGCCTCCTTTGTGTTGTGGGAAATTTCACAACCAACTAATTGGATTGTTTCGTTCGCTTTTCGGAGATTGTGATTTCCACGATCGTCAAGATAGAGATTGTAATATGAAGCCAAAATTCCGTGTTGATTGCCTCGTATTCGGCTTTTTATTACTTTGAGAGTTGGGATCGGTCCTTTCACTATTCGATTGTGGATGTCTTGAATCGGTGCGGAAAGGGCAGTTAGAACCATTACCGCACCACCAAGAGCCGATGTTCCACTGTTATATTCCAAGACAACGACAAACGAACTCGACGTCACTGGAAACACGGACAAATCTCTCTTTAGAATCCACGAATTCCCCTTGTTATTAATATTGTGCGCGTCGTGGATAATAATCTCCTCGCTACTCCGATTGTGAATAGGATTTAACAATTGTATTCCAATAACATAACCCGGGGTACAACTGATATTGATAATTTTCTTCACCACTCGTCCTTGGACTTTCGACGTGATTAGATACTTTGTCTCCTGTCCCATTGACAATTCGATATTTCCATCGTTCTCCGGCAGGACAATCGGATTGTAATTCTCCGCAGCAACTTCCGATGATTGCGTAAACCATCCTGCAAATTCCCTCTGCTGATGTGCAGAGAGCGCAGGATTGTGACGAATGCCAGCCATTTTATTATTCTCGATTCTCGAATTTGATATCTGTAGACCCAATTGCTTGAAACTTATGCCATTACCACGATTATTGGAGAAGTCACTGTTCTGCGCCGTATTCACCGCGTCTGCCGAATAAATATCCGAGTAGAGTATTCCCAATCCATCCTGTAGATTGTTCACCACTTTCACACTCTCCAGTGAATGACGAGCGAAATCAATTTGCAACGCCGGTTTGAACGCATTCGTCGCGTAATCGAGAAGACCAGCTTTCTCAATCGTTATATACTGCAAATCACTCCTCCTCGCTAATGGTCCGATTCTCAATCCCGCCCAAGCTGCCTCCGAACATCTCACGCCAACATCATTTTCGTGCGTACACGAATTTTCAAATTCCTCCTCACTCTCGGCTCGACATTTCGTTATGTCGATATCGTCCTCCGTGCATTGAACATTACTCAAAATAATGTTCTCATTAGTTCCCGCGCTCGGTATCTGAGATCTTTCCAAAAGCCAATCATCCGGATCCAACGTCAGACCAAGCTGATGACAAACCAACGCCGCGTCTCGAATCGTCCAACCGTAATTACAAACAGTTCCCCATTTCTCTCCAATTCTCACCTGCAGTCTACCCTCGAGATTCGTTCTCCCTCCGAGGAGTCTCACGGGAATCGTTCTTGACACATCGAAAGTCATAGCGTCAGCTATGGTTTCATTGTCCGGCACTTGTTCGATAACGATTTCCTCCTTCAATGTCAGCTGAATATCACTCGGACCTTTGCCACGGGCGTACAAACTCCCCGCCACCATCATACCAACAGCCGGTGGAAATCGAAGCGTCACTCCCGGTTGTATCACCAATCGTCCCCCAGGTCTCACATTAATATCCCGTTGCACAATATACTCCCCAGCTCGCAACGTCTCCAGTCCATCGACCTCTCCCCCCACAATTTTCGAATCCCCCGACAGAAATTGAGCCACAAACGTAGGTATCGACATAATTATCTTCCCCGCCGGATTACTGCCATGCAAAAGGTACGGTAGGTACTGAATTTTAGCCAAATTATACCGATCCTTCCGGTGGAATAATCGATCGAATATCACTCGTTCATTCTCCGATCCCAGCCAATTCAGCGTACAATTAATAACCTTACTCTGATCTTCAAAGTGCGAGCCAATTTCGTACCCAGACTCGGTATTCTGCAAGATATTCCGGAAAATATGCACATTACTCGATGACACCACAACCACGGCCGAAACACGTGATCTTGGCACCAATCTCGAACCCTGTATGTCACTATTGTCGAAAGGCTCCTTGACACTATTCCTCTTCAGAAAGTTCCTCGTGAATAACAAATTCTGCCGATCGCTATACGGGGACAATCCCAAATTCACCACATAAACACCCCGGTTATCATAGAATTCGTTATGTTGAATCAAAATATCCGTCGGTAGAATATCAAACTCCTCACGTGGGGGATTCTTCACCAAAATACACCCAAACCGATTCTCCTCAAAGTGATTGAACTCGATCCGACCCTTTAGATTCAAAGCCGGTTGTAACTTAATTCCGACTCTTAAATTCTGGATAAAAGTATTATGGCCAATTTGTACCATCATCAGACCTTGATTCTCCCTCCAACTGGATTCAATCTGTACCGCAGTCTCCCGACTACTGTTGAACCAATTCCCAGTTACGTTCACATACGAATTTCCCGTCGAATTCCCAACCAAAATTCCCACATCTCTATTGCGAAAAATCTCGGAATACTCGACAATCGTACTTTGGTTAAAATTCAAATAATTCGTCGCTTGGGAATCATTCAACCAGACAGCGAGACCGTAACCCCAGTTCGATGATATACTTGTGTGGGATATATTTCGATTACCACCAACAAGAGTGATATTAATACCATCGCCACGATTAAAGGCGATTCGACTCTCGGTGATATTCACGTCTAGAGCACCTTCAAAAACATGAACACCGGCAATGTGATTATTGTTCGATACGGATGTATCGTGAATGTAGAGAGCCGAACGTAATTTCTCCGCAGCTACACCCCTTCCATTATTGTCGGCAATTGTACTTCCGGTTATTGAGAGATCGTAACTCTTTTTATAGGCGGAAGTCAAACGTATGAATGCGATCATTTCCGTGAATGGTTGAACGCTGAATTTTAAATATAAATTTCTTCTTGTTGTCGTTACACTCTGTGGTAGTGTTCCATTTCTAACGTTAACGTGAGCTAATAATTTCTCACCAATACTGCTGCCGTCGTAAACCTCTATTATTGCACTGTCATTTCTGTTTGTTTTCATTTCAATGAAATGTAAAGTGAGCACGTGACCGGGTCTTGTGTAGATGTGGAGTGGACAATTTTGCGGTGTTATGGCAAATTCACTTTGTTCCATTGATATTGTTATGGGAAATGTGTGACTTGTCGTTGATGGAAATGAGCAGAGATTATAAATATCCGCCCGGTCTGGTCGATCACTGGGTCGTTCGTCATGATGGACGTATTTTATTCCATCGGCTCCATTATCTAATATTGCACAATTGTCAATGTGCGCCAATCCAGAGGAACTGTTCACGTATATTCCGTAACCTGAAAGAAAATAACAATATTAATAAATAATCAAAATCCATCAAAACTCAATAATAAATAAAATAATAAGTATTATTCGGAATTCAACAAATTATAATTACTAGCCAAATTTCTTTCTCGACACTGTACTAAATATTTCCAATTTTCGTTTAACTGCTAAATTTTATTAACTAATTACATTAAATAATCATATGAATGAAGATTGTTCACAAATAAAATTTAGATTGTTCGCAATGAAAATTTAATTTCTAAAACATAATAAATTTTAAAATATCTTAATTACGAAATATAGAAATTTCAGCCAATTTTCAAAAAGAAGAAAAATTTTTAAATGTAAAAAATACTAAAAACTAGAAAAAGTGATGACGAAATAATAATCCCACGAACGAAATAAATTAAGAACAAAAAGATTAAAATACCAAAATAAGAATAAATATTAATTAAATTATTAAATAATCAAAAATTAAAGTTTTATTTGATTTAACATTTATTAATTATTCGCAAAAAATCAATTATTTTCATAAATGATAACTGTTTTCAGAAGAATTCAACTAATTTCATAAATAATAATATTCTTTAGAAGAATTCTATTAATAATTAATTTCATAAAAGATAATATTCTTCAGAAGAATTCAATTATTTTTATAAATAGTAAAATTCTTTGCAGGAATTCACTAATTTTTAATACAATTTTAATAAAATTTTCTAAAAGAATACAATTGAGTGCTCCAATGCAATAACTCGTTCGACGCTCGAAAAATTTTTGAGCGTCGAACGAGTTGTTGCATTGGAGCGCTCAATTATTATTTTTTAAAATTTCAATAAATGCTTCGAAACGATTCAATTAATTTTATAAATAGTAATAATATTCTTCGCAAAAATTTAATTACTTTTATAAATAATAAAATTCTTCTCAAGAATTCAATTATTTTCAATACAATTTTAATAAAATTCAATAATCAAATTTTTAATTATAATTATTAACAAACATGATTTATTTTTAAAAATTGATATAAATTCTTCATAAAATTTAATAGTAAAATTATTATTTGCAATTATTAACAAAATCGATTATACTAAAAAAATCCAATCATTGATAAAAATTTTTAATAGTATCTATTTTTAAAAAATTCAAAGAAACTCTCGAAAGAAATTCAAAAAAACTTGAAAGAAATTCTTCATAAAATTTAATTACTTTTAAAATTTTCAATTAAAATTATTAAAGAAACTATTATTTTGAAAAATTTAAAGAAATTCTTGAAAAGAATTTAATTAGAATTTTCAAAAATTTCAACAGAATTCTTCGCTAGAATTCAATTATTTTCCTAAATAATAAAATTCTTCGAAGGAATTCAATTATTTTCAAATTTTTTGATAAAATTCTTTGCGAGAATTCAAGGATTTTCAATACAATTATTTTAAAATTGAAAAAATTTAGAGAAAATTTATTTTAAAAAATTAGGAAATAAAAAATCAAATAACAAATAATTTGTATTTTTTGAAGAATTGTGACTAAAAATTTGGAAAATAACTAAATTTTACAAAGTTTTTTGTATTTAAAATTTTAAATAATTAAATTATCGTTGAATTCTAATAAGCATTGATTTAAAAAAGAATGTCAGTTAAAATTTGGAAAAATAATTGAACATTAGAAGCGTCATAACAAGAATTTTAAGAAATAATTAAATTTTAAAAGGTTTTTAAATTGAAATCTTTTTAACATTTTAATCAGCGTAAAAGTATAATAGTATTTAAATGTTTATTTTAAAAAATGATTAATATATTATTTTCTTTTTAAACTGTTTAAAGTTTTGAATAATTTTATTTAAAAATTCTATAAAAGAATTGAACTTTGGAAAAGTTACAGTTGTATTTTTTAGAAATAATTACATTTTAAAAGGTTTCACATTGAAATTATTTGAAATTTCAATTAAAACAAATTAAATTAATAAAATTAGAATAAAATAAAAATATATATTTTTTTTAATATTTATATTTTAAAAAAATTATTGAAGTTTTGAATAATTAATTTTATAGATTATCGAAAAAAATTAATTGAATGATTGTAATTAAAACTGTTTTTGTATATACATAATTGAATTCTCGAAAATCATTTAAAAAATTAAAACAATTAAAACAATTAAAAGTTTTGTCAAATTTTATTGAAATAAATTTTATATTTGAAAGTATTTAATTTGATTCCTTTTAAAAATTGTCTTAAAATATAATCTTTTTTTTTTAAGAATTATATTCCGAAAAATGAAATTTTTTGAAAAAATAACAAATTTTAATTATTATTTCAAAAAGAAACTTTTTGTAACTAACAACGGGCTTGAAAATTTCACGCTCGCTTGCACGCTTGTAGTTACGCTAGTTACTAAATAATAAAATAATAATTTATTAAATAACAATTAAAGAAGAAGAAGAAGAATTTCAAAGAAGATTAATACCTCTGTTGCCTTGGATGGTGCAGTTTTTAATGATAACTGGAGCCTCAGGAGTGGTGATGTTGATTCCATTGAAGGCCGAATTAACGATGGTGATTGATTCCATTTGTGGTGGCACACCTTCCACATGTAGGGCAGAGGTAACGTTGATTTCACGTCCTGTTCCTGCGTAACTAAAAAGCAAAAAAAAAAGACAGTAAGTATATATTTAATATCACAATTAAACATAAATAAAAGATAAATATATATCAAAAGTAATCAAATAAATTATTTTCAATAAAATTTTTACATTGAAAAAAATTTCTTTGTTTCAAATATACTTATCTTTTATCAAGTAAATATTTAATTGTATGAAATAATTATAATTAATTATTATTATTAAACAATATATCAATTAAATTGTATTTGCTTCAAATACCGAAATTATTGACTCAAATACAATTAATTAAACTTGATTTACCTAATATTGACATAACGCAAAATAGATTTTGATCTGCGGACATAAAGGGTGTTTTCCTGAATGAGAGGCTTATCAAAAAGTGCACCTTCAAATCTAATACCCCGCCAGTGTTTAATTGCCCGTGTGGCTCCATCATGGTGGGGTAAGCACGCTATTCCCAAATCGGGATGATAATCTGCAAAACAAATTAACTTTTATTATCATATTCAAATCGAAATATCATAAATTTACTGCACATAATTACTGACTAAATGAAAAATAAATTATATTCTTTATTAATTATAATATTATTCATCATCGCACAAAAATATTCGAATAAACAAATAAATAAATATGAATAAATCGCATAAAAATTAATACATTCATTCATTTTCATTTCATGAAAATAATATTTAATTAAAAGATTAAAACTAATATTTACATGCCTCGGGTTAACTTTAAGGCAGAAAAAAGTTGCTTTAGTCGATTAAAAATAGAAAAAAATCCGAAAAAGTAATTTATTTAATTCAATGTTGTCACGAAAATTCTATTTTGTATTTTCCTAATTTTCCCTTTCACTGATTTCTAAATTTAATTATTCAAAAATTCAATAGTTTTGTTAAATAAATATTTAAATACTTCTTATTTGTTCCTCCACGGAAAAAAAAATTACGAAAATTTCAATTCAAAACATTCTGAAATTTAATAATTTCCCAAAATTTCAACTATAACCCTTTCAAAATTCAATTATTTTCTTCAATTTTCTAAACTTCGTCTCTAAGTCAATTATTTTTAATATTTTTCCGAAAGTTCTTCAAAGAATTCAAAATAAAAAAATTCAATTTTTTTATAATAATTATAACTGTAAAAGTTGTTAAGAAATATTTTCAAAAATTTCAAATAAAGAAATTTTAAAAATTAATTTTTTAAAAATATTTTAAAATAATTTTTGATAATCTACAAGTTTTGAACGTTCAAATGAACGAATTATTTTTTATGAAAAATATTTTCGCAAATTGCTGATTGCAATAAAAGTTAGAAACTTAAAATTTACAATTAGAAACTTTATAATTATCTTTTTTTGACAGCGATGAGGCAAAATTATTATTGTAATAAAAATTTTTATTTGTAGAAGAATAAATAAATAAATTTCGTTCGTTTGAAAATTCAGAACTTAAGATTCATATAATTCTTTAAAGATAATAGTTTTTCAATTATGTATATACAATTAAACAAATTCCCAAATAATTGAAATTTAGTAAAATATTTTAAAAACAATTGAAATTTGGTCGAATCTTTCAAAAATAATTGAATTCTTTTAGAATTTTAATTATAAATATATGAACGTGATTTCTCTGAAATCTTAATAAGTCTAAAAAAGTAATTTTAAAAAAATTTTAAATTTAAATTCTTGTTCGAAAATAATTAAATCTTAAAAAGTCATGATAAAACAATTCTAAAAATTAGTTTTTTTTAAGAATATTGTAATGTAATTTTTCGAAAATATTTTAATTTCTTTAAAGAATTTTTGTTTAATTTAAAAAAGCGAATTAATTTTTTAAAGAATTTTAATTAAAAGTTTTGAACATGATTCTTTTCTTCAAAAGATTAAAAATAATTCTAAATAACTATTAAAATTGCGCATTAAAAGTAATTAAATTTTTGAGAGAAATTTTATTATTTATGAAAATAATTGAATTCTTACGAACAATTTTATTAAAATTTTTAAAAATAATTGAATTATTGTGAAAAACTTTTTTGAAATTGATTCAAAATAATTGAATTCATCTGAAGAATTTTATTAATCATGAAAATAATTGAATTCTTGACAAGTTTCTAAAATTGTTTGAAAATAATTAAATTCTTTCAAGAACGTTTCAAAAATTTATAAAAATAATTGAATACCTGCAAAAATAATTTCGTTACTAATGAAAGTAATTGAATTCCTGCGAAGAATTTTATTATTTATAAAAAAAAATTGATTTTTTGTCAAGAATATTACTATTTATAAAATAAATTGAATCTTTTCGAAGAATTAATTAAAATTTTAGAAAATAATTGAATTCTTTTAGAAAATTTTATTAGAATTGTATTGAAAAATAATAATTGATTTCTTCCAGAAAATTTTTTTGAAAATAATATTTTAAATAATTGAATTCTTTTGAGAAATTTTACTAAAAAAGTTGATATTGAAAATAATTGAACTTCAGCAAAAAATTTCATTACTATTTATAAAAATACATGAATTCTTGCAACGAATTTTATTAAATTTTTTGGAAATAATTGTATTTTGCAGCATTTTATTAAAATTTAAAAGAATAATTCAATTACTGCCAACAATTCAATTAAAATTGTATTGAAAATAATTGAATTCTTGTAAACAAATTTTATCGAAATTTTTGAATATAATTAATTTCTTGAGAAGAATTTTAATTGAAAACTTTAAACACGATTGTTTTCTCCAAAATATTAAAAATAATTATAAAAAAATTTTAATGATTTATTCTTTTTATGAATGTATTTGAATTTTCAGAAGTATATAAATGAAAATACGGAAAATATTTGAATTTTAAAAAATTTAAATGCAAAAATTCTAAGAATTACTTTTTTCAAAAAATATTTTAATACAATTTTTAGAAGCTAATTTTCATTAATTTTCATTTCTAAATTTACACATGTAGATTTTTTATTAAAATTTTTAAGAATTCAATTATAAAAATTTCAAATTAAAATTCTTCAAAAAATGATTTTCATAAATTGCAACAAAATACATAATGGAAAAAAATAGAATATTTTCAATTAAAATTTTACAAAATTTCAATTATTAAAAATCTTTTAAATTGTAATATACTTTGAAAATTTAATTAGAAAAATGATTCAAAAATAATTTTTGAAAGTTGCCTCTCTTCAGTCCAGTACACACTGAAAAAAAATTTTTTTGATTCAAATAATCGATTACTTGACAGTTATCAATAAAATATTTACTTGAATCAAATAATTTTTATTGGAGTTTATTAAATCGCATTTTCTTGAAATAGTGAAATTTATTGGTTTAAATACAATTTAATTGATTCAAATGAAAATTATTTGATTACAATAAATATTTAATAAGTCAAGTAATCGGTTATTTGAATTAAATAAATTTTTTTTTCAGCGTTCTTGACATATTAACTGAAATATTGATAATGTTGTTCAAAGCGATTAGCTTTGTATTTTAATTTTCTTTTGTGCATATTTTTTTTTATCGAGAAATTGAATATTTGATACCAAAAACGTACCACAGACTCCGGAACCAAGCTGTCTACTCGGCCAGCGATCGCATTGCTGTAAATTTGGTTCGGTTCCTCGACATTGCGGTTGTTCGTATAATAATCGAGGTTTCGCTGGCCATTGTCTGTCTACCCAACCCCACCATTGTCCACCTTGCAATCCTAATTCTCTACAGGCAGTCTCAAAATCCGCTCTTGTCCAACTGAAAATGTCAAATTTTTTATTAACCAAAATTTCAACCAAGAGTTCAAAAAAAAACTTATTTCGAACATTTAAAACGAACGTCGATATTTTTTCAATTTTTTTTTAATTTGCATCTTTTTACACAAAAAATATTTTTTATTTAAATTAATAAATAAAGTAATAATAAATTAGTAAATTAATTATTCAGTTAATTATATGAAACAAAAAATATTAATTATTTTCTGGTCTGAGGTTATTTTATTTTTACCAGATTTTTAGAATATTATGAACTGGAAATTATTTGATAGATATTACCAATGTTTCCTATTTATTACTTAATTTTGTTATATTTTTCTATATTCTACTCGATTATAAGCTTACATATGTATTTTTGTGTGCCAATTTCGCATTTGAATAAAAATCTAATTGTAGTGTTGCACACGTAAACACAGAAGAGGACATTTATACAATGTAAAATTACATGGGGGTTTCTCTGGCAGGAAATACCAGAAAATTCTGAATAATGAACAATCCTGGTGCACATTACATTAATATTACGTTTAGATTTTGTACTGTGTTGAAAATTATTTTTATATTTTTCTCTCTATTTCAAACTTTAATATTCAAAATATTTTAAATATTTAACAAAAAAAATGGTACCTAATCTTCTATTAATTTTTTTTATTTGAAATTTAATAAATTTATTTACTAAAATTTAATTAATTTTTATAATTTATTTATAATTTAATTAATTTAATTATGGGTAATTATAATTATAATTACATAATTTAATAAAATTAAAATTAAAAATTTATTAAATCAAACATTCTAAAATTTACAGATATAAAAATTATTTTAAATTTTATATTTTTCGTATTTGATTAGAAAATAAAATTTATTTAATTAGAAATAGAAATTCAAATTAAATTTATTGTAAACCTTTGAACGACTGGGCAAAACTTGGTCTTGTTCATTTATATTGAAATAAAATTTTCCTAAAATTTTGAACGTTCAAATGAATGGAATATTTTTTTCTATTAAATATTAAAAAAAAAATTATTGCGTAAGAAATTGAAAAATTATTCAAATTAAACATTTATGTAGTTAAGAATTAAGTTTTTCTTATCATTCAATAGCTAATTATTTACAGTCAACTCTCGATATTTAAACTTTCGCTAAATTGAATTTCTCCATAAATCGAATTTGGTTTTTGGTTCATTGAAAAATTTTTAATACTTAAAATATTCGATAAATATAAACCTCGATAATTTGAATTTTTTCTATGCCATGAGATTCAATTTATCGAGGGTCGACTGTATATATTTTTTATTACTTTGTTTATATTAATTAATTATTATATAATTATTATTTCTATATTTTTGATTTATTTATTATTTACTTATTTTTAGTATTTATTTTTTTATTCATTTAGTATTTATTTATTTATTTTTTAGTATTTAATTTTTTTTTATTTACACAATTGTTTATTTTTTCATATATTTTGAAAGAATTGTCTCAAGGAACTGTTTCAAGAAAAAGTTTTTCAAAAAGCTACAAATTTTACGAAAAGTATTGAGTATTCGAGTATATGAAATAAATTTTTCAATTGATTCTCTTTGTTTCTGAATTTAATTTATGGTCACATCTATTATTGTCCATATGTTATGATTCATTATTATAGACATTTATCGCTTTTCATTATGTAAATATTTATCATAAATTATTTCAATTAACCAAAATATGTTCTCTTTAATGAATATTGAAAATAAAATACGAGATTTTAATAAATTCTTATATATTTTTTTTCACATCTCTGAAATTCAAGAACGTTTAAATAAACGAAATTTTTTTCTTTCTTTTTTCAAAATGCAATTTTATTATATAATAATAACTGCGTATATTAAAAATTAATCTACTAGAAAATTTCAAAGTATTTAATTTACAATTTTACTTTTTATTGAATATAATAAATATAATAAAAATTAATACTCTGAAATAAGAATAATATTCAAATAAATGCTATATTTTTGTAAATATATTTTTAAAAACCACTCAGATTGCAATAAAAATTAACAAACAAATTGAATAATTTGAAACTTTATGAATTACCTACAATCCACAAATTTTGTTTTGAACAAAATATTTTTCAATAAATTTATTTTCATAAATTATCGATTGCGATAAAAATTAAAAACTTAAATTTAATATTCAGAAAGTTTACAATTAATTTCTTTGATAGTGACGCACTTTTGTAATTAAAATTTATTGTGAAAAAAAATTAATTTTATTCATTTGAACGTTCAGAAGTTTAGGAAAACGAAATTCTTTTTTTGATACGTGATGCAAATTAGGATAAAATTTTTATTTGAAAAACAAATAAATAAATTTAATTAATTTTTTAATACTTGACGTAAAAATTATTAGAATAAAATTTTAATTTTAAAAAAGAAATAAATAAATTGTTCAGAACTTTAGCAAAATTAAATTCTTCTTTTAATACTTAAAGGCAAATTATTACTAAATAAAGTGTTAATTGCGAAAAAGAAATAAATAAGTTACTTTAAACTGATACCTTAAAAAACTAATGCTCAATTTTAATATTGAATGAAAAATTAATCACTTTATTCGAAATTCAAATTGATTTTTAAATTCGAATAAAAGGAAAGACAATTTTTATAATATTGACAATAATTTTAATATTGCAATTAGATTATTTACTTTCTAGAATTGGTGCAAACAGCTCTCCATTCCCCACGATGTAGAATTTGTAATCGGCCTTGATATGGAGTTGGTCCATCGACGAGACGAATCGATCTCGACTCCGGTTGACCGGACGGAGACTCCGACGTCAACACAATCCCCTCCTCCGGTTCACCCTGCAAGAAAATTTCATATTAAAATTAAATCAGAAATTAAAAATTCCTCTCTATTTTTAATTAACTTATATTTCAAAATGTAAAAATAAAATTAAAATAATTAAACAAATAAAAACTAAATGCCACACATTTTTTCTTTCGAAAAATTGTATTTTTGGATAATTTCACATCAATATAAATAAATAAATAAATAAATGAAATAAAATAATTTAATCAATATAAAAAGTAAATAAATCAATATAAAAATTAATAAAAATACATAACATTAAACAAATTAATGTCACACGTGTGAATAAGAAAATTTCAATTCACTTAATTTAATGTGAATCTCCCATATTAATTTAGTCAGTTAATTAAATTAATTAAATGAAAAAATTAAAAAAAAGAAAGTAAAATTGCTTTAGAATAGTTGAATAATTAAAAATTTCGAACCAATTTATGAAAAAATAATTAAAATTGTTAAATTTAATTAATAGGACATTATTCGTCCGGTTCTTACCTACTCTGCGACTAAGAAACGACTGACGTGTGTATAGTTAATTATCAACTCGGTAATTTTAATTACTTTCTATTATATCCCCCAGGACAATATATGAATATTTATGTTAATTCTCACAAAATTCTATTGTTATTATCATAGAATCAATATTATTTCCAGACATTATAATTTTCATCAAGAAAATACCTATTTACAATTTTTCCATCTAAATTTAACTTTTTTAATTAATGATCATGTGATCATAAAAACAAAACAATAACAATTAAAATAATAAACTATTTTTAATATATATAATTATATTATATTTTATTATTCTATTTATGTAAAAAGTTCAATAGTATTTTTATTAATAATTAATTAATATTTTTCATTACTTTATTGATTTATTATTCATTATTATTATTATTATTAATTTTACTATAAAAATTTGGTCAAGTGATAACTTCAATTATTATAATTATTACTAGCAAATTTTTTTAACAGCCTTCCATTTATTATTATTTTGTACCTAAATTAAACAATTTTTTATTTTCAAGAATAAACATTAATTTTTGAATGATTACAGATTCAAAATTTAAAGAATTCACTTATTAAGTAAATAATATTAAATATTCTTGTTTATTATTATTAAAAAATTTTAATAAAATTTTTTGCAAGAATTTCATTATTCTCATAAATAATAATATTTTTTAGAGCAAATCAATTATTTTCAATACAATTTTTTAAAAAATTTCTTGAAAGAATACAATTATTTTTAAAAATATTAATTAAAATAGATTATTTTCAAGAATTTTCATACAAATTCAATAATTTTCGACAATTTTGATGAAAATCTTTTAAAAAATCATTATATTTTCAAAATTTTTAATAAAATTCCTTAAAAAAAATTCAATTATTTTTCATAAATTTAGATAAAATTCTTCGAAACAATTCAATTATTTTTATGAATTGTAAAAACCTCCACAAAAATTCAATTATTTTCATAAATAATAAAATTCATTGCATAGATTAAAATATTTTCATAAATAATAAAATTGTTCAAAGAAATTCAATTATTTTCATAAATAATAAAATGTTTTGGAGGAATTAAATTATTTTCAATACAATTTTAATAAAATTTCTCGAAAGAATACAATTATTTTTAAAAAATATTATTTAAATATAAGAGTTTTAATAAAAATTCAATTATTTTTAACAATTCTGATAAAATTCTTCGAAACAATTTAATTATTTTTATAAATTGTAAAATTCTTGGCAAGAATTCAATTACTTTTGTAAATCATAAAATTCTTCTGAGAAATTCAATTATTTTCAAAAAAATTTTGATAAAATTTATAGAAAAAAATTCAATTATATTCAAGATAATTTTAATAAAATTTCTCTAAATAGTTTAATTATTTTTAAAAATTGTAATAAAATTTTTCTAAGCAATTCGATTGTTCTCAAAAGTGTTTTATAAATTTCTTTGTAAATTTTAATTATGTATTTTTAAAATTGTGTATTAAAATTATTTTAAAAAATTACTTCATTGTTACGAAATCTAATAAAATTTTAAAAAAATGTAATTATTTACAAAAACTGTAATAAAATTGTTTAAAAGAATTTAATTTTCTATGAATAATTGTAATATAATTTAATAGAAAAATTGTTAATTACAATTAATAATAAACACGATTATTTTATTAAAAACTTGAAAGAAAATCTTCTTAAAATTAAATTACATACTTTCAAAATTTTCAGTAATAATTATTTAAAAAGTCTCCACTATTTTCAAGAAAATTGAAACAAATTCTTCAAAACAATAAAATCATTTTAAAGAACTTTAATAAAAATCTTGCCATGAATTAAATTATTTTTAATACAATTTTATATATATTTTCTCGAAAGAATTCAATTATTGAAAAAAATATTCATAAAATTCTTAAAATGAATTCAATTATTTTCAAATTTTTTTAAAAATACTTTACTCTGAATTCAATTATTTTCAGTACATCGACAATTTAATTATTTCTGAAAATAATTGAATTCTTGAATAGAATTTTGTTAAAACTTTTTTAAATAATTGAATATCTGCGAAAAAATTTATTATTTCTATACAAATAATTGAATTTTTGCAAAAGTTTTAAAAATAAGTGAATTTTTGAAAAGAATTTTCTTAAAATTGTATTTAAAATAATTGATTTCACGTGAAAAATTTATTATTTATTGATATTATTGACTTCTTTTGAAGAATTATAAAAAAAAATGTTTAAAAATAATTTTATTTTTTCTGGAATTCAAAATAATTGAATTCCAGCGAAAATTTCATTATTTATGCGAAAATAATTCAATTCTTGAATTCAATTTTATTAAATGTTTTTTAAATAATTGAACTTCTGTAAAAAATTCAATTATTTTTTAAAATAATTAAATTTTCTCGGATAATTTTTACAAAATTTTTAAAAATAATTGAAATTTTCGAAGAAATCAATTAAAAATTGTTTTGAAAATAAGTGAAATTTTGATAAGAATTTTATTATTTACATAAAAATAATTAAATTTTTTACAAAGAGTTTTATTATTTATAAATTGACTTTTTGCAAAGAATTTTATTACAATTATTGAAAATAATTGAATTCTTCATAAAATTCGATTACTTTCAAAATTTTCAGTAAAAATTATTAAAATAATAGGTTTTAGTAAATGAGTTTGAAGTCTGTGAAAATCATAAAAATTAAAATTAATAAATATTATTAAATTTATGTCATTTTTGAGCAATGAATGAATTTTTATTTCTTAACATAATACGTAACTCGATTGTATAAATTGAATTATGGTGAAATTAATGTTGGAAGGTAATAAATTGTGTGATTAAAAAAAAATAATAATCAGTGAAATTTAGTGATGTATAATTCTCATGGGGGTGAAGATTTCATTTGGAGAAAGGAGGGGGGGTGTGTGTGTGGGGATTAGCGAAAGGCCATAAGGTTAATACGGGGCAAGAACTACTCGTTGATCCGTGACCCTTACAAAAGTTGCAGAGGCGGCAAAGTTGAATCACCCATTCATGCACTATTTTATGCTCTCGTCAACTTCCCATTCTTAATTAACAATTAGGCCACAAGTTGTACCTTCCGCTCTCCTTCGATAATTAAACTAACTCACTTAAAAAATATTACAAAATACATTTATTTTTACCCCCAATCATTGCGCCATAATCGCAAATTACGTAATTAATGATGAGAGACACGATCATAAAAACAGAAAATAATAACAATTCAGAATTAAATTCTATTTAGAAATTAAAATACAAAAATTAATCATCATGTGTTTTATTTATTTACTTATGAAAAAATACGAAAATTAAATTTTATTTTTCCATGACTTTTACCTGATTTCCAGGCCAAATTTTTATCATTTTTAATCGTAAGTAATTTATATCTTTATTGCATAGAATTTTATTACATTATTGAAATTACAGTTTATTTTTTAAGGACATCAAATTGAGACAAAAAACGAATAAGAACTTTGCTTCGCAACACTCTTGACTCGTTTTTTGTCTCACTTTTATATCCTCAGAAAAGCTGTCAAAAAAATTCAATTGTTTTAAAGATTTTTATGGAAATTTTTGAAAATAATTAAATTCTTTCGAGAAATTCAATTACAATTGTATTGAAAGTATAATTGAATTCTTATAAAGAATTTTATAAAAAATTTTGAAAATAATTGAAAATTCCTCTGAAGAATTTTATTATATTTATGAAAATAATTGAATTCCTGCGACCTTTTTCAAAAAAATTAATTCTACAAAATTATGTTAGTTAAAATTATAAAAAATTTAAATTAAAAAGATTTTAATTTGAAACCTTTTCAAAATTCAATTATTGCATATCTAAAATTTTAACTAAAATTCATTTTTAAATCAATTTTTATTAAAAAATTCTACGGACTTGAATTATTTAAATTCACTTATTCAATTACTTTAAAATTGAATTTCCATAAATAATTTTATCAACAAATTTTTAAATAATTAATTTTTTTCGAGGAATTGAAATTAAATTTTTAAGAATAATTACATTTTTGGAGGAATTCGATTAAAATTGGAATAAAATAAATTGAAAACCTGTTAAGAATTTGATTATTTATGAAAATTATTTGATTTTTTGCGAAGAATTTTATTAAAATTGTTGAAAATTTATAATTGATTTCTGGTAAGAATTTTATTATTTAAGGTGAATAATTAAATTTTTTCAACGGATTTTATTAAATTTTTTTTTTTTGAATAATTGAATTCCTGTGATAATTTTTAATATTTGTGAAAAAAAATAATTGAAATCTCCAGCAGAATCGTTTCAAAAATAATTAAATTTTTATAAAAAGTATTGACAATAATTAAATTCCTTGGAAGAATTTTATTATTTATAAGAAAAATTGAATTCCTTGAAAGAATATTAATATTTATGAAAATAGTTGAATTCTTCGGAAGAATTTTATTAAAATTTTTGGAAATAATTGAATTTTT